ATGCACTGAGCGCCAAGGTGATGCAACGGCAGAACCGCGCCCGCGAGAGCCATCCGCGTCGGCCCAAGCACCAGGGCAACTTTATTTACCAGCCGTGCCAGCGCCAGTTCAACTACTGAGCGTCCGCCGGCCCAACCACAAACCCTCTGCCGACCCCCGACCGCTATCGGGCCCCTCCGCGGCAGCCAGTGTGTTGCCCCAGGGGCGTCCGCAGCCCACCTCGGGCTGATTACACAACCTCCCTCAAGTGTGTGAGGTGGGGTGATAGCCCCCTTTAAAGTCCCCTTGATTTTCCCATCTCTGATTCTCTAATCCACCTCTGGACCTCTACCCTCTTTCTTCTGGCCCCCTGCCCAACATCTATCTAATCCTTCATCTCCCAGACTGACTCCATCCTTCCTTTTCTGGTCCCCATCCTTGCCTCTGCCCTGACATTCCCCTTTATCTTTGCCCTCCATTCCTCTACCTCTGGCCCACCCCTATTTCTCAGAGTCTCCTTTTCCAGTCCCACATCTAGCCGTTTCCTTACCTTCGATTCCCACTTTACAAGCCTTGCCCTATCTCATGTTTGGCACTACACTCGCTCCTGCTTCCTTATTTTCCATTCCCAATAATGCCCTCCCAAAGGGTGGGTGGAGGAGGGAGGTTGAGACTAAAGGTTTCTATGTTTAGTCTCACCCTTCCCTCTCACCCTGGGGGCTGGGCTCCTTGTAGTGGCTTAGGCCTGGAAAGGTAAAGTATGTAGACGAGGACTGTGAGATGTGAATTAAAGGGAGAAGGGGGAGGGAACTGAAGGGAAGAGGCAGCCTACTGGAAGTGTGGACAGGACAGGATGAGAAGCTGTAGGAAGTAGGGCACCATGGGAGCTGGTACTGTGTGCTTGCTCAGAGATTGGCCTAACCCTGCTCGCGGGCTGGAGTCTGGAGTCTGCCCCCTGCTTCCCTTTCCTATAATCTCACCTCCCAGATCTCTTCCTGAAATCCACCCCTCTGCAGGCCCAAGTCTGAAAGGCTTAGTTAAACCTCCCCCCAACATGTCACCCCGGGAGCAGAGGCTGGGCAAAGCCCTGCCATCCGGGCCATCTGTTCACATGTCCAAGGTGCTAGAACTAGCTTAGGAGAGATGCAGGCCAGAGGGCTTCTAGGCGGGGAGACTGCACACCCCAGTGTAAGAATGCAGAAGAATGATGCTGAGAAGGACAAGCTGTGGGGTGAAGCCATCCCAAGACTGACAGCTCAGCTTTCATCTTGCCTCTGGCTTTGTATTTCACACCCTGCCCAGGATGGCTAATAAACACTCCAGGGTAGGAGGCCAGGAGCTTCACTGTCCTAATCCCCAAAGTCCCGCTCCAGGTTCTGGGCCATAAGGGCCATGCTCCCTTTTCTTCCCGAGTGCTCTCTTCCTTTCTAGGCTGCTGGGGAGAAATGGGTGCCCTATGGTTCCCCTCCCCTTCTCTTCCTATAAATACCTGGAGGAGGGAACCTGAATCCCTGGGTGAAACAGAGGGAACAGGGGTGACCAACTTCCCCTTCTCATGGTGGGACTGAATTTTGGGTTCAGACACCAGCAATAGCCTCTTGGGATGCCCCAAGTTGCTTCCCTTTTTTTCTTTCTGTCCTTTACTAGTATGTGCTCTTTCTTCCTTGAAACTTAAGATTTCCTGTTAGAAACTAACATAGGTCTTCCTCCCTCACTCTAATTCCAGGTTTCTAGGTCTCACAGTTAAGTGGAGGCTTGGAGATAACTCTGCATTCCCATGAGGGCAAAGGCAGCTGCCCTTCCTGACCCTGTAGCCCCAAGCTTCATGTGGGATGTATGGGTAAGGGAGAGGGTAGCCCCATGGATACTGGGATGGTGACAGAGGAAGCCCTATTGGGGTCTCCTGTCTAAGGGAGTAAGCCAAATCTACACTAAGAACAGATCAAAGTCCCCACGCCAGTCCGCTAGGGCCCCAGTAGTTGGCAACCTTGTTCCTGGCCCCAAGCTTCTCCGTCTAGTCACATTTTTCTTCCAGCTACCCCTCGGTCACTTCACAGCCAGCGTAGGGTCTTCAGCACTTCCAAGAGCTGAAATTCCCTCCAACTCCTCTTGTCTACTCCTTTGCTGGGGCCTAGGCTCAGTCCAGGGTAGTTCTCATGATCCTTCTTGTGGGGGAAGAGTGAATAATAGGGCATTAGGTTCAAATTTCAAAAGGCCCCTCCCTCACCCATATTTCTGGAGCTCCTGTAGTTCTAGAACCTTCCAATCTCATCACCTGGCTGATTGCAAGGCTCATAGGTTTTTGTACTTTCCTATAGATTCTGTAGTATTTGAGTGTGGCAATATTTTAATTGTTTATAGATTTCTAAGAACCAACATTACTCAGTCTCCTGCTAGTCTAACTCCTGAAGCATCATACTGTATTGACTGTGTATGTGCCTTTCACCTTGAGCATGCTTCAGGATTTTTTTTAAACCACAGAACTTGAATATATGAGGGAACCGGAATTCACTAAGTCCTATGCAACCTTAGACAGGTGAGGGGTTAGAGAGTCTGTCTTGACTGATATTTTCAGAGAACCCTGGAGAAGTTTGTTCCAGTTTATATTAATTCATGTCAATACTACCAGCACTTTGCCAAAACTGAGTTTGTCAGAGGGACCCGTTTCTAGAGTGAGTCCCCATTACATCAGAGGGTGACTTACAGTGATTCCCCATATGTCTGAGTGCTCTCTTCAAGCTGGGTGTCACTTTCCAGCCTTTGCCAGTCTGGCCCCAGCAGGGTATCACTTGTGTATGAATGCAATTTGCTGCTGTTTTGAAGTATGCCTGCTCCCAACTCCTGCCGGTATCCTGATCAATTTGCTCTGACCCTTAATATCTTAGGTGCAATAAGGACCCCACCAGAGCTCTTGGAGGCCTCCTCAGATCCATGTGGCTTTATGTGGGGACCGAATGCAGACACACTATACCCCCTACATTTCCCCACTTGTCCTGCCACCTAGTTCCAAATGGAACCAAGTAGAGTGCATCCCTCTTGGGTGTTTTGTGTTGAGACTGGCTGGAACGAGGAGACTCTGGTTGACCATGTTGTGACATTTCAACAGACTCAAGGACACAACCACCTCAACATGGTCCTGTGGCATGCCTGTGTATGTGTGTAACCGAATTTTGATTGTTAGATTGTAATGTTATTCCTCTATGGGAGAGAGAAATATAAAGAAAAACAAAATAAAAATCTATTTAAAGCACATTATACTTTCTGTCTGAATAGAGGTAAAGTCTGAGAAGCACTTTGTAATCTCAAGCCCAGTACTGGCAGAGGGTATTATTATTAGGCTGGCTTTGGTTCTCGTGTGTGTCATAAGAGAAGGAAGAGGGTAGATAAGCTTGAGGGGAACAGAGTCAGACAGCATGGGGTCTGACTCATAAATAACTACTTTTAGAGAATCCTTATAATGTAAAACATATATAATAAGACAGTTGAAATAGAGATGAGACTAAGTGCATGACAGAGAATCACCAACTCATCCTTTTGATCTCAGGCATTGAGTTATGGCAATGGCAAGGAGCTACTGCAGGGGAAAGGATGGGGTATATGTCTAGCTAGCTGGTAGGAGACACAGAAGAAGGCTGAGACGCAGACCAAGACAAGGACAGGGCCCCAAGCATCTGAGTCCCCTGAAGGTAGGTAGGGAGTAGGATGGGAGCAGAAGCAGTGTTTAGGTAAGAATTAAGGCAGGAAAGGGAAAACCTGGGGATGTTGATGATAAGTCACCCCTAAACCTGATGCAGGTGAGTTACAGGCAGCCAAAGAGTGAAATGTAATGGGCATCTTTGAAGAACATAACACAAAACAACTGCTTTTATTTGGGGACTACCCATCTAACCACAGAACTGGAATGAAGGTGGAAAGCTGACCTAAACTGGGCTAGATTCTTGATGCTGTTAAAAAGATTCTTGCTGGTCAGGCTGGGTTTATCTTGAATGCAGGAGGTATAAACAGTTGTTTTGGAGCAATCCATCATGTGCCCAGAGAAGCAGTTGTATGAAGTGGAGAAAAGGTGCTATCTGGGTTGCTGATGACTTCCTGTCTCTAGAAAATCCTGGGTCTCTGATCCTCTCTAAATTGTTATTTGCAATACAAAGAGATCTGACCAGCATATAAAGTGCGAGGTACAGTGTTGTAAAGGGCTAGTTTCTTCAAAGCCAAGAATGAGGTCTGTGAGCAAGACTGCATTTCCCTCAACTTGTCAGATGCAGCTCAGGTGCAATCAGGACAAGATGGGATTCTAATTCACAAAGAAGGCTGTTCCTACTCACTTATGATTCAAAGAAAAGCACTTGCTCAATAATCCCCTATCAATAACATACACTTATGTTCTAAGACAATTACATTTATTTAACACATTCAGTATTTCACATTGTACAAATCCTTAGATTCTCTTTATTCACTGGTCCATTTCTACAACAAATACATCCAAAACACTATTTAATAAAATTATTTACAACATTTCCAAATGAGAAGATTCCTTTTGTCCCCACTACTGCTACTCACACAATACTTCCACAGCACAATACATCATGAGACCTAAAAATGCTCACCCTGTACTCTAGGCTGCTTAGGAAATGTGAAAACTAATAACATAATCACATTAGCTCCTCTCAATACATGGCAACATTTTAGAAACCTTGAACTTCATCAACACCAAAAGGGTTCAACAACTCTGCTTTTCTCGTTGCACTTTATGAAACAGGTTGCAGGGACTAGGAAAAGGGCCACATTATTAAAATGACTAGCTGTACAGAAAGTGATTTTAAAAAGTCACAGCTCAAAACTGCTTTTTGTAAAATTCATACACATTTACAAGTATCAAGTCGCTGTCCAGCTTGTTTACTTGGATTTTCTTCGCTTGGATTGCACCGCACTGGTTATGTCTGTGGGGGAAAGGAAGGACATGTTCAGCTGAGGCAACTTTTTATAGCAGTGCCTTTTAGGTAGTCCACAAGAACACAGATTAAGTGGAGCCCTATTGGCTCTAAATCAGTCTAAGGGCCTCAGAAGGGGCACTCAGTGTGAAGAGGGTCTCCGGCTTCTGTGGGAGGAGGGTACGTCCTGTGTACTAGAACCTGGCAACTGGGAAAATGTGATACAGGTGGTGGGAGATGAAGCACATGTACCTGGTTGGAAAAAGTGGAGGGATGAGGACAGCTTCCTAAGCTAGGCAATTAACCCCACAATCTCTATCACCAAATCCCATCACCCAAAGACATGATGGGTAGACTGACAGTGCTTTTGATGAGAAATCAATGAATGATGCGACACGCAAGTGCGTAAACCGTGCCTGAGTGCCAAACAAGCCTCTGGATCCCTTTTGGAGCCAAGCCATTGTTTTGCAGTAATGAACTCATTTTGCCATGCCAGAGCCAAAGTTTCTAAGTAACATGGCCATGACCCTTGGTCAACAAGTGTCTACTGTGGTCTAGCCAGGTATATCATCATGGCTGTGGATACATACAGGCATAGAAGCAATTCAGAGCAAGCCACAGCCTACTCTGTGAGTCCAGGTGAGCCTGAGGACTTCGAGGAAGAGGTGCACAAGCTGAGTGATTTACACACAGGGTAATAGTGACTTAATTCCTTTTGTATTATCATAGTGTCTTACATCAATTAATTCAATTTTATCTCATATTTAAATTGTTTCTAAAAACTTTTCCATACAAGTTTCTTACAGCAGAGTACAATGAATAGTTTGAAATTCTCCAAATGTAAACATTTAAAATCTCATATTGATCTTAAAAATTCACCCTCATTCTTCATGCTGCTACGTAGATATTTTGGTTTTAATATGAAAATAGTATTTTAAAGTTATTTCATATCAAGGAGAAAAAATTCTTTTCTAACACATTAATGTATGAAGTGAACCAGATTTATCTATTTTGGAAAACTAGGCTGAATTTTCGGATGCTGCATTTTAGATTTAGTGTTCTAAGCAATTTTTCTTCTCTCTTTTGTATCATAATATTTTAAGAACCCAGATTCAAAAGGTAGGTGTAAAAAGCAATATTAATTGCTAAGAAGTGAGGCTTTGATGACTTTCCAAGAGGTGACCTATGCAATGTTTTTGGAAATTTCAATATGTCACATATTGAATTTTTTTTTTTTTTTTTTTTTGCTGGGAGGTCATGTTGCTTGTGCTATCGGGTAGAATCAGTCCCTCTGATTTCTCCTTAGTCTTTTGCTAATCAGAGGACAGTTAATCTGACAGAATGCTGATAATGGTGTTCATTTTAATTGCATGCAATTTAGAGTCTCATACAACCAAAATTCCCCTTAATTCTTTTACTTTCAACATTAAAGCTTCATTGTCACAGTAGCAAACTGGTCATTTGCAGTAAAAATATACAGAGTTTTGTCTTGACTGGATATTCATCCTTAGAAAAATATTGATTAGGTCAACTTTGGAAGCCTTTCCTTTGTTGTGATATGAAGGATCAAGTGGTGTGTCTGAGAAACACATATGTGGGTGGGAAAAGAGGTGAAGAGTGTGTAGGGAGGGGGGCCTGGGTAAGCAACCTCAGGCTTTCCCTCCCCATCTCCTTCCATCTGTTACTGCTCCAAAGAACCCAAAGATCTGGCAGGCTGCCTTTGCTCCTGAGGATGAATCAATGAGTGGGACCCTGAGTAAACAACTGATTTGTGCTAGAAACAACAACAAAAAGTAACCTTTTAGATACCAGGTGGAGGATGGTATAAAGATACCCTGAGGAAAAAAACATATCGACCTGATTCTGAAGTCTCTTATCACCTTCCCTGGATAAATCTAGCCAATCTGGGTCACAGAACAAATTCATTTTTAATGTGTGTATAAATCTGTCTGAAAAGATGAGTTTTTTGTTTTGTGATTCAATTTTATACTCTCAACAAAATGTTATCATTTTTACTACTCCCCTGAGTACAATAAGAGAATCTAGAGGCAAACCTTTTAAGGTAAGGAATTCTAGGTGACTGATAGTACCTTCAGGTGTGCATCAGGCCTATTCCTAAAGGTTGCCTAGTTTATCTGACTGAGCATAATCCCAATTCCAAGATCCCCCCCTTCAATATTATACTGGCAAAAAAAAAAAAAAAAAAAAACCCAAAACCATCACATATATTGTCAAAAAATTGCTTTTTAAACCACCAAGGGTTTTATAAATTAATGTAAAGAAAGATATACAAATGGTTCAAAAACTAATAGTGGAGTTACAGCATTCATATATTCATATTTTAGAGCTAACTATATGATAAAAAACTGGGTTAATAACAGTCTTTTAGGAAGTTATCCATTTAAATTGGTAATTTGATATGGGCATTTTTTTTCAACCTGGTTGTCTCATTTTGACATTAAGCAAACTTGGCCAAATCTACAGTACAAGACTCTATTAAATCTTCTAGTAGGTGGGTTTTGCTTTACTTTCAAGGAATTTTAGAAACTGAATTTGACTTTGCTCACTTCATTGGGCTTTTTACTGTACTGCTTCTAGCCAAGATTTCTATTTAATTGCAAAAAAATTCTGAACATTTCCTTTCAAAATTTGCATGTCTGGTTTCTAAATGATGCTACAAGAATGCAGTTTCAGACAGTTATTGTTCAGGGTTTTTCTCCCATAAGATATATCTAATTATGTCTGTTCATTTGCATTTCCACAATAACAACACTTCTGTTTTAAGAATACCTGTACACTCTGTTTTTATTATTTATTATTTTTATTTTTATATATATTTTTTATTTCAGAGAGGAAAGGAAAGAGAGAATAGGAACAATCAATGATGAGGAGGAATCATTGATCAGCTGCCTCCTGAACGCCCAACACCAGGGATTGAGCCCACAACCCAGGCATGTGCCCTGACCGGAATCGAACCATGACCTTCTGGTTCATAGATTGACGCTCAACCACTGAGCCACGCCAGGCAGGCCACTCTATGTTTTTAGATTGTTGCTTCTCAAGTCACTCGCTGTGGGTACGGTAGGGTTTTCACCCCACTTTGCTGTCAGAGATATCTCAGGGCCCCACAGGGACACCCACAGCTGCTGATGACTACTAGTTGCTATGAACGTCCCTAATATTAACCTATTTTCTATGGTTTCTAACTTATGCATTGAATTTCATGTTTTTAACTACTGATCCTTTTCCCTGGTTGAAAATATAACACAAAATTATACACAGAAAAGTAAATAAAGAATGATAAGGGAAAAAGAATAATTTCTG